ATAACACCTCTGACTGGCCCTGTCCCCATCTATTCTCTGCCTCCCGGGTCCCAGCTGATTGGGAAGGAATGGGGATTTTGCAATATCCTTGTCCTGGAGTCGGGAGAGAAAGGAGATTTGGCAGTATCCTTCCCCTGGAGTGGGGAGGGAATGAAGATTTTGCAGTATCCTTCCCCTGGAGTGGGGAGGGAATGGAGATTTTGCAGTATCCTTCCCCTGGAGTGTGGAGGCAATGGGAATTTTGCAGTATCCTTCCCCTGGAGTGTGGAGGCAGTGGAGATTTTGCAGTATCCTTCCCCTGGAGTGTGGAGGCAATGGGGATTTTGCAGTATCCTTCCCCTGGAGTCGGAAGGCAGTGGAGATTTTGCAGTATCCTTCCCACAGAGCAGGGAGGCAATGGGGATTTTGCAGTATCCTTCCCCTGGAGTGGGGAGGGAATGGGGATTTTGCAGAATCCTTCCCTGCCATGCCCACCCAGCCACACTCACAGAACTGGTAGCAAAATAAATTGAATCCCACCACTGGGCTAAATCATAAGATGAACAATTGGAGGAACTGGATATATCTATCTAACAAAGAGAAGGACTAGGGGAGATAGGATAGTTGTCTTCCAATACTTAAGGGGTTGCCACAAATAAGAGGAGGTCATCTTATTCCCCAAAGCACCTGAGGGCAGAAGTAGTAACAGGTGGAAGATCATTAAGAGAGAGAACCAACCTAGAACTAAGAAATGTCCTTAGAGTGAGACCAATTAATCTGTGGAACAACTTGCTTCTAGAAGTTGTGGGTGCTCCAATACCCGAAATTTCCAAGAAGAAACTGGAATAGTATAGGATCTCCTGCTTCAGCAAGTTGGACTAGAAGACCTCCAAGGTCCTTTCCAATCTTACTATTCTATGTTCTAAAAAAGTTAGACCCTCTTCATAATACAGATGGGTCCTGGACTTACAACCATGTGTTTTAGTGATAGTTCAAAGTTATCACTGCGCTGAAAAAAGTCACTCATGATCAGTCCTTCCCCTTAGGATTGTTGCAACATCCCCGGGGTCACAAGATCAAAATTCGGGCCCATGGCAACCAGCATGTATTTATAACATGTGCAGCATCTAAGAGCATGGGATCCCCAAGTCTGACCTTCCCAGATAACTTCTAACAAGCAAAGTCAATGGGTGAAGCTGAGTTTATTTAATAGCCTGATTCACTTGACTGAAGTGATTAGCTTAACAACCAGTAAAAAATTTGGGGGGGTAAAATCAGATATGATTCACTTAGGGTCCTCTTGGGCAGTGGAAATTCTGGTCCCAGTTGTGCTTGTAAGTTGAGGACTTCCTGTAGACATGGCAAATTCATTTTTTTACTACCGGTTCTGTGGGCGTGGCTTGCTGGGCGTGGCAAGGGAAAGATATTGCAAAATCCCCATTCCCTCCCCACTCTAGGGCCAGCCAGAAGTGGCATTTGCTGGTTCTTTGAACTACTCAAAATTTCTGCTACCGGTTCTCCAGCATGCAGTGGTGGTTCTCCTGCATGCAGTGGTGGGATTCAGCCAATCCGCACCTATCCGGGAGAACCGGTTGTTAACTTTTTAAGCAGGTTGGAGAACCAGTTGTTGGAAGAAATCTCCTTTTGGTTTTTTCCCCACTTTACAGGTCTAATCCTGTAAGGAAGGCAGGAAGGAAATATTCTGGTGTTGTTTCTAGCCTAATCTTGATTGCCCTGCTTATAGAAACTGCCTCTCNTGGACACCGCTGGGCCCATTCCAACTGTATTGGCTGGAACGGAATCCAGAACCCACCACTGACTCGACTCTACTCGATTCTACTCGATTCTACTCGATTCTACTCAATTCTACTCTACTCTACTCTACTCTACTCTACTCTACTCTACTCTACTCTACTCTACTCTACTCTACTCTACTCTACTCTACTCTATTCTACTCTATTCTATAGTATAAAATGTAACAGTCTATGGAAGGAGATCTTTTTGGTCTGATGGAGCCATCTGGAATTTTGAGGGTGCTCTCAGAAATTGACTGCCAAGGAAGACATAACCAGTTACAAAGTTGGAAGTCAACAGAAATATCCGTCTGGTTCTATATTTTAACCTCCGAACTCCTTAGAGCATGAGGTCTACACCAGTGATTCTCAACCTTCCTAATGCCGCGACGCTTTAATACAGTTCCTCATGTTGTGGTGATAAAATTATTTTATGTTTTGTGTATTTTTTCAAAAATATGTGTTTTTTGATGGTCTTAGACGACCCCTGTGAAAGGGTCATTTGACCCCCAAAGGGGTCCCGACACACAGGTTGAGAACCATTGGTCTACACAATCCCTATTTTACAATTAAATCCTGGTGTGATAAGGTGTCAGATTCGACAAGAAATCTGTCAGGGGCCCAAGAAGAATCTATGGATACATTAGAACCTACTGGCTCCATGTTGGGGATCCCAAAATAAAATGATGGTCTAATGGGATCTATCAGCCTTCCCAGTTCATCTAAGTGGGGAAAGGGAGTCTACACACAGCCTAAAGGTTTACCTTATCTTTCTTATCCAGCCTCACATCTTCCAGATCTTCCACGATGAACTTCATCACCCTGAGATGACCCCTTTGGGCAGCACAGTGTAGGAGGTTGTGACTATTCTGAAAAAAATAAGGATGAGGGATTCAAAGTGTGGAAGAATAAATCAGCCACCTGCCCCATCTTGGTCTTTAGGTCTCCGATAATACCACTGTTCAAAGCTGGGACCCCTAAGCAGGAATGTCCTAGGGGAAGTCATAAAAGTCAAGGTGGAGCAGGGGTCTCCAACTTTGGCAACTTCAAGACTTGTGGACTTCAACTCCCAGAGTTCCTCAGCCACAAGTCTTAAAGTTGCCAAGGTTGGAGACCCCTAAGATGGAGGATAGGATTGTAAGGTTGAGGCCCTGCCCATTTGGAATGCTGGTAAAAAGGGGGTGGGGCTTCAATCATGCAATTGGAGCAGACATTTTAACTTTTTAAAAAATCACTCTGTCCCTCACCCTCATTTGTGCCACTGCTTCTAGGATCAGTTGCACCCCTAACTTTATGCTTTTGTCTTAAAATAAGGGGAAGGTCGAAAAATATTTTCCAAGATTGAGTTTTCGGAAGTGGGCATCATGTATGAAGAAAGCAGCTGTCCATTTCTTGAAAAAATTAGTTCCCCCCCCCCCCGCACCGTGTGAAATTTCACTGCCTGTTGCCAAGCAAATGAAAAGCTGTCATGAAAGAAGCATTTTCTTTCTATGCTTTGCAACTGTCAGCTCATGTTTTATTCCTTCTGAGTTAGTAATGATTAAAACATGCGCAGGGTTGCATCGCTGGTTCCATGCAGTATTTGGGATGAAAACAATTCCAGGCTTTTCCCCTTAAGCAAACACTGCTGACGTGTGTGTCTTGAATGCCCCAGCCCACAAATCTTCTTCCCTGAAACTACTTTTAGAGTAATTTCCTCGTATTTCAGCTGGGTGTTGTCTCAAAGCTATTTGAACCAACTCAATCCATCTCCTACTGCTCTCTTTCACTCCTAATGCAGATCCATTTGGGCCCCACCCTAGTTGTGTTCAAAAAAGCTCTGAAAACTTGGCTCTTTTCCCAGATCTTTAGTTGAGTTTATGTTTGAGTTTGATTGTCTTTAATAGCTATTTTCCTTCTGGCATATTTTGGGTATGATTATTTTTATTTTATGCTAGCCAGAGAGGTATGGAGGAGATGGGTGGCTTTCTACATTTCTCCATAAATATACTGTGTGAGCAGCCACTATTTCTTTAATAGACCTGGCTATATGTGTTTTACACACACACACACACACACACACACACACACACACACACACACACACACACACACGTTATATTTATGCTGATAAATAAATAAAGGGAGACTAGTATAGATCTATTTCAAGCTATTTAGCTCTCATCAGCTAGCCANTACTTATCTCTTCCCACTTATGACTATAACCATGTTGCTTGTATCTTTACATTTTATATTGTTTTATTTGTTTCCTAGTATGATTTGAATGCTTATTAGTAACCTATGACTATCATTAAGTGTTGGATCTTATGATTCTTGATGAATATCTTTTTCTTCTTCTTATGTACACTGAGACCTTATGCACCAAAGATAAGTTCCTTGTGTGTCCAATCACACTTGGCCAATAAAGAATTCTATTCTATTCTATTCTATTCCATTCTATTCCATTCCATTCCATTCTACTTCTGTTCTGTTCCATTCCATTCCATTCTTTATTATTGAAAACCATTTTGTGCTTCTGCCCAGTTAACCTCTTTCCATTTGGGGCCCATATTTCCTCAGCCCCCAATTTCCTTCACCTCATTTGGTCACCTCAGAGTCACCTCAGAATCACAAAGCACACTTACTTTTTCCCACTTGTAAAACCTATCCGCTTTGATGATCATATCAGCCAAAGTGATGTGGTTCCCACGAGCAGCTACGTCCAGTGATGTTTTTCCTTGCTGCAGAAAAAATATATAAATCCCCTGAGTTGAACAGGACAAATCTTTGGGGCTTTTTAAAATTAATGGGCAGCAAATATTTAACTCCTGCTATGTCATGACTGTATTTATTCCAATGATCGATAGGTACTCGTCCTTGCATTTTTAGTAAAGATTTAGTTTTGCCTGATGAAAATTATATCTTTGTAGTTGATGCCATGCAAATTATTAGATACCAGTTTTATACTGTGATTTTTTAAAGCATAGAGGAATTTGCAAGCATTTTATATTTTCCTGTTGAGCTGAATGTCTATGGAGATTCCCAAACAAGCAGGTCATGCTTGTTCCAAAGGTGTTTTTCTAAAACGCAACTGACTTCCTTGCTTTTTTTCCCCCTTGAAAACATTTGGCTTCTCATCCAAGAAGCTCCTTCAGTTCTAACTGACCGGTGGAGAAAGAAAAGATTTAGCCTGACTGCAAAGAATGTAAACCCTTCCATTCCCCACCAGTAAGTAAGAAATATAATAAGTGTAATCTTTATTGTCATTGTACTTAAATACAATGAAAATGGGGACAGGGTACGCACTGAAAAACATCTTTTTTGTAGATCAAGTGTGGGATACATAAGGTAAGTTGCAGAGATGGGTTGCTACCGGTTCAGACTGGTTCGGCTGAACCGGTAGTGTTTTGGCAGCCTGGGTCACTGGGAGCAGCAGCCACTCAGGCCTGCCACCCCCTCACCCCCTGATCCAGTTCTTCTACGGGGGTGCCATCTTAATTGCACAAATGTAATTTTTTTCTTTTTTTAATGTTTTGTGCATGCGCAGACCTATTCGTGCAGAGTGCGCATTTGGCGTGTGCATGAGCGAAGCAAGCATGTGTGTGTGTGTGTGCAAAAGTTTTGCGTGCACTGAACCAGCAGTAATGCCGGGAGCAAACTATCCCTGGTAAGTTCCCTTTAAATCATCCTCTGTGCATTTTCATGCTAAAATCCTGTAGGCACGGCTGGTGCCTACAGGTTTGCAAAGAGGTAACATTCCATGCATACAGAAAGAGGCAAGACAGCGGCATTACCTTATCGGTTAATTTTAAATTCACCCCAGCCATGAGGATCAACTCAGCAATATCTTGCCTTCCGTGCTCCGCAGCAATATGAAGAGGACTCTGTTGCCTCTGAAGGCAGAAAGGAGAATCAGAAATCAGCACTGCAAAGAATTTGGGAGAAGCATCCGTTCCTTAGCATTGAGATAAACTGCTTTTTTGGTATCTGGTTAAAAGCTTTTTCTGTGGCCTCAAAGAGGCCTTCTCATAGAATACAGTACAATGGCAGAGTTGGAAGGGACCTTGGAGGTCTTCTAGTCCAACCTCCTGCCTAGGCAGGAAACCCTATACNAAAGGTTTTTGTCCTCCCTGGCCCCCAGGAGCTTTAAGAGGGCTGGGGGAAGGCAAAAATGTCCCAATTTTTGCGAAAAATGGCCCATTTTTTGCAAAAATGGGATGTAGGTGGGAGCAGGGGCTTGGGAGGCCAAAAAAGGCTGTATTTGGTGTATAAGACACACCAAAATTTCCACGCTCTTTTATGACGGGGGGGGGAGGTGCACTTATACTCTGAAAAATATAGTATTTTACTTTTATTTATTTAGTTTGTCACTCATGTACAGGATAACAGGAATAAGAATAAACATGAATAAGAAGGGAGGAAATGGGTTCAAATAAATAGGGACAATAGGACTGGGAGGTTAGGCATGCTGGTGTGCTTATGCATGCCCCCTTACAGACCTCTTAGGAATATGGTGAGGTTGACAGTTTAAGGTTCAAGTTATGGGGGTTTGAGGATGTAACAACAGAGTCAGGTAGGGCAGTGGTCTCCAACCTTGGCAACTGTGGACTTCAACTCCCAGAGTTCCTCAGCCAGCTTTGCTTGTCCCAAAGGGTGTTTGGCAACTGACTTCCTTGCTTTCCCCACCCCCCCCTTGAAAACATTTGGCTTCTCATCCAAGAAGCTTCTTCAGTTCTAACTGACCAGTGGAGACAGGAAAGATTTAGCGTGACTGCAAAGAATGTAAACCCTTCCATTCCCCACCAGTCAGTAAGAAATATAATAAGTGTAATCTTTATTGTCATTGTACTTAAATACAACGAAATTGGTTCTTAAATATGAAATTATACTTAAATACAATGAAAATGGGGACTGGGTGCGCATTGAAAAACATTGTTTTGTAGAGCAAGTGTGGGATGCAAAAGGTAAGCTGCAGAGATGGGTTGCTACCGGTTCTGGGAGTTGAAGTCCACAGGTCTTAAAGTTGCCAAGGTTAGAGACTACTGAGGTAGAGCATTCCAGGCATTGACCATTCTGTTGCTGAAGTTGTATTTTCTGCAATCGAGTTTGGAGCGGTTTACCTTGAGTTTGTGTCTATTGTGGACTCGTGTATTATTGCGGTTGAAGCTGATAATTTTGTGTACTATGCTTAGGTCAGACTGTAGATACCTCACCAGATTATATCTTCAGCTGGGTCCTTGGTTCTCCTCGAGCTTGTTTGTTTTCTTGAAAATGTTTTGTTACCTGACTAGGTTAAATCTTCAGTAAAATCCTTGGTGCTCTCTGATCTTGGTTGTTTTCTTGCAAATGTTTCATTATCCAACCAAGTTACATCTTCAGTGCTAGCTCTGGAGAAAACCACGAAGAACATCCGCAAGAAAACAAACAAGCTCAGAACTCCACAAACAATTAAATCATGGCAAGGGATCAAGATGAGGATGACTGGGTCACACACCTGCCTTATGTTGTGTAGCCTGCTTTAGCTATTACCAAAACTCAAGAAAGTTTTGGCATTGAACATATTTTTAAGTTTTATACTCACTGCATTCTTGTCATCCGGATCCACGCCAACTTCTAGAAGTTTCTGTAATACGTCTGCATGTCCATTCATAGCTGCCAAATGAAGAGCCATGTTCTTCTCCTGCAAACCAAGATGACATTCCACATTAAGTGAGAAGAGTTCTCGTGGGGATCTAGTGGGAGAACAGGTAGAAATGTCCCTCTAACACATTGTTTCTCAACCTTCACCACGTTAAGTTGCATGGACTTCAACTTCTTCATAGAAGAGCAGCTGAGATGATCAAAGGCCTGAAGACTAAATCATATGAAGAATGGCTGCAGGTTTTGGATTTGACTAGAAGAATTAGAGGTGACATGATAACTGTATTCCAGTATTTGAGGGGCTGCCAGAAAGAAGAGAGGGTCAAATTATTCTCCAAAGCACCGGAGGGCAGGACAAGAAATAATAGTTTCAAGGAGAGAATAATAGTTTGAAATAATAATAGTTTTAAGGAGAGAAGCAATTAAGGAGAATTAAGGAGAAATTTTCTAAGAGGAGGAGATGGAGATTTGTGGGCCCTTGCTGTTCTCTGAGATTGTTTTCTTGCAAACATTTCATTACCCAAATTAGGTAACATCATCAGTGCTAGCTAGTTAATGCTCTGGCACTGATAATGTCACCTAGTTGAGTAATGAAACTTCTGCAAGAAAACAAGAATATAGAGGAAGAAGTGTTGGATAAAATATGGATAAAAGGTTCTTTTTAATAATAATAATAATAATAATAATAATAATAATAATAATAATAATAATGATGATGATGATGATGATGATGATGATGATGATGATGGATTATTTGGAAACAAACAACATCTTGCCAGTAGAGAAAAAAGGCAAGAAAAGAAGGAGCAGGGGCACAAAAGATCAGCTCCTAATTGATAAAATGATATTAGAAAATTGTAAGAACAGAAAAACGAACTTGAATATGNTACACAACCCACCCTTCGCTCCCCCTACTTATGGCATATGAGCCAAAAAATGTTCGCCATCGCTGTCCTATGTGATACTTCGAAGGGAAACCCAGCTGAACTCAGTGGATGTACCTGTTCCCTCTATTTGGAGATAATGAGGATATTCTGGTTGCAGTTGATGAAACCAGTCACTTACGTAATTCAGAGCATCTGTTTGGATTCCTGCACCAAGGAAGGTTTTGGCCATATCTACATAGCCATTCAGTGCAGCATAATGAAGGCAGGTCATTTGTTTCTGGGGGGAGAAAAAAATCAGGAGGACATCTTCAGGCAACGCAAGCTCACAAAAACCCACCACAGCTAGTTCTTTACATACAACTGCTTGTTTAGCGACCGTTCAGGGTTACAACAGCACTGAAAAAAGTCACTTATGAATGTTTCTCATACTTACAACCCATGATCACGGGGATATAGAAATGATGCAAATAAACAGATCACTCTGCTAAAAACTAATTCCCACAACCCTGTTAAACTATTCGCTAAGACTGTATTACACTATATTGCCAAAAGTATTCGCTCATCCATCCACATAATCAGAAGCAATTGTGAGTGAATACTTTTGGTAATATAGTGTACTATTCTTTTTCTCATCCTTCCTAGTACCTAGCTCCTTCCAATTATGACTATAACCCTGATATATAAACTTTATTGTCATTGTATGTATATACACAGTGTACACATGCAACAAAATTCACATAACACTCAGAGACCAGGACCAACACACATGACAATCCCCAAACACCCCCCCACTCCCCCACCAAAAAATTCCCACCCCTTGTTGCTTGTATCTTTATGATTATATTGTTTTATTTAGTTTTCTAGAATGATTTACGTTGATTGCTTATTTAGTATCCTATGACTATCACTAAGTGTTGTATCTTATGATTCTTGATGAACGTATTTTTTAAGTACACTGAGAGCTTATGCACCGAAGACAAATTCCTTGTGTGTCCAATCACACTTGGCCAATAAAGAAGTCTATTCCATTCTATAAATGAACAAGTAAATATTCCTCCTATATGTCTTGACCAAATCTTTCGAATCAAACTAACCATACCTGCGTTTGGGCATTGACTTCACAGCCAGCTTCTAGAAGGAGATGGATGCAATCATTGTGACCTCCCTCAGCAGCTAAATGCAGGGAAGTCATCCCTTCCTGGAAAAAGACAGAANGGAACTGCCAGCATGGCAGTGGGAGATTGGACAATGTGATGGACTTATGGGGGTGGGGGCAAGATCTTGAACTTTCAACTGGGTGCGGAAAACTGGGAAGCTTTCAGATTCGGGTTTTCCCAGATGTGCCAACATGGCTCTCTTATTAAATTGGAACTTTGAGCAATACTTTGCCTCGGACTCTGATTTAATTTTGGATGCTATTTGGAACTCTGACAGTTAAACACATTGGTTGCCATAGTTTAAAAAATCTTACATTATCAGGAACATCAAGGTCACATTCAGCATCAATGAGAAGTTTGACAATGGCTGGGTAGTTCCGTAGCACTGCAATGTGCATGGCTGATGCATTTTGCTGCGGGAATTTAAAAAAAAAAAAGCAAAATTAATGTACTTAGAGCATTGAGCATCTAAGTTGCATTCTGCTGATTGGAAAACCCACACTGGAACTTCACACAAGTTGCAGCTATTTGCTGACCTTGGTTGCACAATGTAGGTAGTCCTCACTTACAACAGTTCATTTAGTGACCACTCGAACTTACAACGGCACTGAAAAAAGTGACTTAGAGCTGTTTTTCACACTTATGACAGTTGCAACCTCCCCATGGACATGCGATCAAAATTTGGGTGCATGGCAAATGGTTGATATTATTTATGACGGTGGTGGTGTCCTGCGGATAAGTGATTACCTTTTGAGGCCTTCTGAAAAGCAAGATCAATGGGAAAGCGAGACTCACTTAACAACCGTGTTACTAACTTAACAACTGCAAGAGCCAGGAGGTTAGCTGCCGGAGCGTGTTTGCAGTAACTCCTCTTTATTTTATCAATTTTTGGTATTCCCACTGGATCCTTTTTATTTAACTACTGTATTTTTCAGACTATAAGATGCAGCTGTGCATAAGACACACCAAGATTTCAAAGAAGTAAGTAAACATTTTTGTCGTCCCCGGCCCCCAGGAGCACTCTGCAGGCTTCAATAGGGCTGGGGGAAGGGAAAAATGCCCCAGTTTTTGCAAAAAAGGGTAAAAAACGGGTCATTTTTTCACAAAAATGGGGGCACTTTCCCCTTTCACCAGCCCTGCTGAAGCCTGCAGTGTGCTTCTGTGGGCTGAAGGAAGGGAAAAACGCCTCAGTTTTCCGCCCATTTTTTGCAAAAATGGGATGCAGGGGTGGGATTTTGGGATGCCAAAAATGGCTGTATTTGGTGTCCGAATCCTATCTGCCAGTCAATGTCGACTGGCGACTACACGGAGGAGAGCCTTTTCTGTTGCAGCTCCGACCCTGTGGAACGANGCATCCGTTCCTTAGCATTGAGATAAACTGCTTTTTTGGTATCTGGTTAAAAGCTTTTTCTGTGGCCTCAAAGAGGCCTTCTCATAGAATACAGTACAATGGCAGAGTTGGAAGGGACCTTGGAGGTCTTCTAGTCCAACCTCCTGCCTAGGCAGGAAACCCTATACCATTTCAGACAAATGGCTATCCAACATCTTCTTAAAGACTTTCAGTGTTCGGGCATTCACTGGAAGTCTTTAAGAAGATGTTGGATAGCCATTTGTCTGAAATGGTCTTCTATCTTTGGCACCTCATGGGGACAAGAAGCTCCAGCAGGAAGGAGCCAACTGAATCAAAGGGATAGGTAAGAGATTAGTAGCCTTTACTGTCATTATTCTGTGTACATAATGGAATGCATTAAGGTGAAATTTCAACGCCCCCTCTCGAAAGAAAGAAAGAAAGAAAGAAAGAAAGAAAGAAAGAAAGAAAGAAAGAAAGACCCACCCACCAAATAATGCCAGCATCCCAAGGATAACAGTAAGATAATAAAAGCTGCAACATCCAAGAGTGCCAAGTTATACAAAATGACAACAAAGATTACACTCACACACAGACACACAAATATATTAATCACAGTCTATCTTGAATACACAGCAGAAAAATGTTGTTACGTGGCCCCCAATGCCAGCTGAATTTCACCCCAGAAATAATGAGAGAAACCCCTTCAATAATTCCTTGGACTTTGGGGCAGCGGCCTGAACTCAAAGGGAATTTTTTCCCTAACTTGGATTGCACAATAATTTAATTACCAGGATGCGCTAAGATTATGTATGTATGTATGTATGTATGTATGTATGTATGTATGTATGTATGTATGTATGTATGTATTTCCTATTTATGAACTGCCCATTTCTCTCAAAGAAAGAGATCTTATTTAGAGATTTAATTAATTAATTGTTCAATAGTCCACCGTTATTGTTCTTATCAATAATATTGAATATTATTCAATATTCCCCCCTCATCCTTTTGTCTTTACAACAAGAAGAAACATGTGAGGTGAGTTGGGAGGAGAGAAAGGGACTGGCCCAAAGGACACCCAGCCAGTTTTGATGCCCAAGGCGGGACTAGAACTCCTGGATTCCCAGTTATCCAGCCTGAGGCCTGAAGGGCTGGTATTAGACAAAGAATTCCAGCAAGGGAACTCAATTTTCAGTTTATAACCAATGCATATAGCTCCAAGAATCTTCAACCAAGCAATGCCATCTGCAAAGACACAGGAAGTGCCCTTTCCCTGTCATGGCATCTGCTTTCTGGAATGAGATCCCCTTGAGATCCTGGTGGATCCTGCTCAGATGGCATCATCTTCTCCCAGACAGTCATTTAAAGTGACTGAGCTATTATCTGCATATGTTTGTTGGGCTGTTGGCCATAATTGTCATATTGGTCTCAATTTTTTCCTTGTTCTTCCTTTAAATTGTGTTTTTCCTTCCTTTCCCTCCCTATTCATATTATATTTTATCCTCCTTATGTTCCGAGCAGCCCAGAGGTGTTCCAGAGTGGAGTAACGACTAAATCGGATAAATAATTTAATCAAAAGAAATGAAAGTGGTGCAGCGCCAAGGATTTGAAGAATAGAGCTATGCTTCAAAGCGCACAGAAGCGTACACACCATCCAGTAATGGTACCCTCATTTCTTCACTACCGGTTCGGTAGTGGGAGCGTGCGCGCATGCACAGAAGGTACGTAATGATGTCTCCGTAGCCTCGCGCTGCCGCCACTGGCAGTTCACCTGAACCGGTGCGAACCGGCAGAAGTCCATCTCTGACACCGTCCCTTAAACTAAGCATCCCCTTTCCCACAATTGTTTTGACCTCATTGAAAAGCCATCAAATTAGGTGAAAAGCTTGAGTGGTGCGGTGGCCTAGAGGTGGAGCTTTCGGCTCACAATCAGGAGGCTGTGAGTTTGATCCCAGGTAGAGGCAGATATTTCTCTCTCTGGGCACACATGAGAATATATCTGCTGGGAAAAAAACTCTGCATTGGCGACAGGAAGGGCATCTGGCCAGTAAACATTCAGATCTGTTCAGTTGTCCAGGCTCCGCCTCACAAGGGATTATGGGGACATTAAAAAGGGCGATGAGGAGGAAGGTGAAGAGCTTGCAAGCACACTAACCTGCTGCCAAAGGTTCGTCAGGCCTGCAGCCATATTCCTCTTGGATCTTTGGCCTGCTACACTTGCAATTATTCTACTATGTCTTTTCTACTGTGGGAAAATGGGAGGGGGGAATTGTACGGAGTTAGATGCTATGTAGCCATAACAATATTCTCTCTAGAAAGCCAAGGTCATCTTTTGTTTTTGCACCTCTGCACCTGACCGGAACTGGATGGGTGGAACTGCCAGCATGGCAGTGGGAGATTGGACAATGTGATGGACTTATGGGGGTGGGGGCAAGATCTTGAACTTTCAACTGGGTGCGGAAAACTGGGAAGCTTTCAGATTCGGGTTTTCCCAGATGTGCCAACATGGCTCTCTTATTAAATTGGAACTTTGAGCAATACTTTGCCTCGGACTCTGATTTAATTTTGGATGCTATTTGGAACTCTGACAGTTGCATTTAATTTCATTACACAAGGTGCAATGACAATAAAGTAAACTAACTAACTTACAACTA